TATCTAGTATCTTTGTTGAGAATTGATAATAAAATAGGCGACGACTTGGTAACGAAAGTTTGGCACAAGTTTTTTTTTAGATCCAGCTGTAGGGGGCGTCCCGTTTTTCGTATTCCCACCATGCATTTCGGTGGAACACGGTGGAACACTTTTTTTGTGTGGAGAACTCTATCTTGTATTTCTAGTATCTTTGGGGACAGTCTTGAGCCGTCGTGAGAAATATTAAACACGTTTAATATTCTACTACGCGACTGCCCCCGACGCACACCATCGCGTCTGCGTTCAACTCACACAGACCCGACGCGACAACAAATCGCGTCGGGCTGCGTCGGCTGACGCTGTCTGAGTTGGCCTTTACTTACGCACAGGACAACTTAGGAATTCGTATAATAAATGGGTGTTTGTGGAAAGCTTCTAGCTAGGGTCTCAGTCCAAGGGTATCCAAAATAACTTGTAGTAAATAATAAGAGAAACCAGTAAGTCATACGGTAACTGAAACAGTGCTTACTACTAGCTAGTACATACGTAGTACTGCTGTACTAGTTAGTATACTGAGACCTATTTAATACACTATTTTGATAGGCTCTTCTTTTCTTTCTTGAATTCAGAGGTCAAACAAATTTTTAAATTTTTCTTCAAACATATAGAGGTGTAGACTACCGTAAAACCTCGAATTGAAGCCATGAGCTTCTTTTTTTTTCTTTTTTTTCTTTTTTAGTAAAGAGGGGCTTCTTTTAAAAATGAATGCTGTCAATTATGTGAATTTGTACTATAAAACAATACATAAGGCCACTGCAAAATCAGCCTGTATCATGGAGTGTATTTAACTGGCATTAAATCACCTAAACCACTGTATAAACCAAGCTTATTTTTAAATTAATGTACAGTATATGTACTGTACTATCTCCAAAAGAAGCCTACCCTATCTTGAAGGAAGCCCATGGGCTTCTTTTGGAGGCTGATTTTGCAAATTAAAGAGGCGGCTTCAATTCGAGATTAAGCCCACTGGGCTTCAATTCGAGGTTTTACGGTAGTCTTTTAAGAACATTTTCCAGCAAAAAATAATGTGACACGAACCTTCGTTATGGAGTTATGGATTTTCATAACATAAGTTCAAGAATTTATCCTAAAAAGCTTATCTGACTTGGGTGTTTTTGAGGGCGCCCAGGTAGCCACGTGACCTAAACCGCTCATGTCTCAACTCTATCTATTAACTGTACTCCGGTAAAAAATGACGGCAAAAGTCATTATTTTTCCCTCAATTAAGCATAAATATGTAATATTCACTTGGGAAGATCGAGACTTCTATGATCTTCGTTGTTACAGTTTACAGACCGGTAGGTTTCGAATCCCAGACGATTATTGCGGACCTTTTTCCCACTGTATCTATAAACAAACAAGCATAATCATAATATAGATTCATCTTGCAAACTCATGGATGATAAAAGATGTACACATAACTTAACTGTCATCGAATTGTTTAAAGCAGCATAAGCCATTGTGTGTGCGCTGAATGGTGAAGATCTTTCGGACATTTGTTACTCCCAGATCCGGGAATAATTTAAGAAGATTTTAAGGAGTCATTTTACATCAAACAATCGAGTCAGTTTCCGATGTTTATTGAGAATGCTCTTTGATACTATAATGTGTTCCTTAGATCCACTCTGCAAGTTTTCCGAGCATCAAGATTTGTCGCAGCTTTCCCTCATAATACCGGCCGTTGATGGTTATATTCAGTGGTGGGCATTTTCTAATGGAGGATTTGGTTTGAAAAACAATTTAAAAGTGGAATATGAATATGTGAGGTAACGAGTCAAATTTAGTTTTCAGTCTTTTTTTTAAATTGTTGAACAGTAATAATTTTTCTATAGCATAAGGAGTCACTTTGTTATTATTATTATTATTATCATTATTATTATTATTATTATTATTATTATTATTATTATTATTATTGTTATATTATTCACTATTATAATAATAGTTATTATATTATCATCATCAGTAACAATATTATTATATATTGTTGTTGGTGTTAATGTTATTTTCCTCGAAGTCACCGTCCTCGCCTTCGATACCACTGCCATCGTTTTCGTTTTTATTGTTATTGTTAATATTATTAATAATTTTATTAAGTTTTTGTAGCAGTGATCGCACTATTACTAGAGTTACTACAGTATTTGGCATGCTCTTTAAAATATCTGTGGTTGTAATGTTATTCATATATTTTCTATCACTGGGGTGTCAGACATTTTGTAACTCAGATTTTTTGCAACTCTGCCACGGACATTTTGTAGGCTCAATCCCCAATCGAGTTACAAAATTCCGAATAACGAAAAACCCTTATTTACGGAATGTGTCGACAACCTCTAAACTACCCTAGTATATATTCATTATTTGCGCTTCTGTTTTGCTTGTTTGGACGTTAAATTGCATGAGCATTGAAGTTTCAAAACCAATCCTTGAAAGTTCGTTACATTTCTGGGGCGGATCCAGAGATGTCCAAAAGGGGGGCCGAAAGGGGGGCCGAAAGGGGGGCCGAAATTTGGGCGGGCCGATCGAGAAAACAATGTCCTAGGGGGTCCGAGGGCATGCCCCCGCGAAATTTTTGTGTTCTAGACGCCCGAAAATAACATTTGAGGCGTTGTGGGCTATCATTTTTTTCTTTTTCTTTCTTTTTTCCTTTTTTTTTTTTTACCTTCCAAAGAGTTAAATCCGCCCCTGCATTTAACTCCAATAGAGAGCACAACAAATGAGCATTTAGCTCTGTCAACACTATCACATTTTTATGCGACAAAAAATGTGTTATGCCCATATTTGGGTGTAATATGACATCATCATATCCATATATGGGCACATCACACAAATCTGTCAAATAAAAATGTATGGTGTGGACAGAGATTAAGGCCTAAAAATACCTTTTTTTGTGATACCTATAATTGCCACTCTGTTACATACCCACAAGTGGTTCATAATGTATAACTTGTAACATTAAAATAAAATAGTGGCGGTGTCAGTGGTGACAAGGAGGATAATCATGTTGGTTTTGTGTTGGTTATAAGCATATTAATTTAAAAAATAATAAAAACAATACTGTTTTATTTCAATCTTGATTTAGTTGGGTCTTATTTGCTTGCAAAGCACATATGACATTTTGTTTTTAGCCTGCATTAATGAAAAAAAAGTAACAAAATTAAGTAAGTAAGTAGCAAAACTAAAACTGTTGGTGGTTTCGCATTTTTCAGAGTCTGGCATAACCTGTTAGTAATTGCATATGAAGGTTGTATACAAGTCTTCATTCTTGAAAGAGAGGAAGGGGAATTTAACTTTCGTAGCAGAAGTACGTCTAATGAATTACGGGAGGATCTTGATTGGTCGTCTATGTATGTTTGGGACAACAGATGTTTAGTGAGTTTCAAAAATTGTTCAAAAAATGGAAGAAGTAGAAGTGGTGAAGCTATAATTGGTAGAACCACAATGGTGGGGTCATGACCTAAGGTTGAAACCCCGTGGCGGCGCAAGGCTGTGTATTTAAATCTGATGATATTTACCATATCGGTATATAATTATTATTGTTTTTCGTTGTCCATCGAATTTAGAAAAAAGCAGACTAGAGGCCATTTTCTTACTTATTTATATATATTTTTTTGCTTTTACCTTGATATTAGCTATTACAGTCTCTTCTATAGCCAGCACTACGGTCGGTGCATTGACAGAAGTTGAGCTTTTATAATAAAACTTGGTAGACGTATTAAACAGTTACCCCTTTTTCTTTAATCAACAGTTTGGAGTAAACTCAACACCTTCATTTGTGATTTATGACTTGGATGACTTCCAATCTAAAGTGTTACAGGTAGTAGCAGAACCTACTGCTTCATTGCTAGGCCCACGGATATTTGGAGATTTTATCTTATATATAATTAATGAAGGTACAGAAATACAAATTCAAAGTCAAGTTTACGCAATTTTTTAAGAAATAAAAATGTTTTGAAAGTTTGTTTATAATCGACTTTCACATAGTTTATTTTTTTTTTTTTTACTTTTTTGATCAGCCTTCTTAGGATTATCAATATGAGTGTAATTTATGATACTTTTACTTTTTACATGTTTAATAGCCTGTATAAGACGGTTATATGCTTTCAACACTGAAACTGGAGAGCAGTTCCCGGTGAAGGTCAACGAAGCTGATGTGTCAGCATACACATTGCACGGCGACTTGCTAATCGCTCTCCAACCCGTGTTGGGGGAGGTCAACATTTGCAGGATCAACTCAAGTGGACACAAGAACCCAGTTTGGTGTACTCAGGACATGATGGAAGATGGTGTCAATGATTTGGTTGTGCCTAAGATTTTTCATTCAAATAAACTGTTTGTTGGTGATCATTTGATAAGTTACGGGAAAGGCGTTGTATTTTTTATTAGGAAATACAATGTTAAGGAGTATATTGTAAAACACTATGAAATTGATTAAAATGGGCATAATATACGAAAATAGCTTTCCGAAGTTATGGCGCAGGTGAAAGATGGTAATCCCAAATATCTAACACCAACAAAAGTCACCAAGCATAGCATTCAACAGAAAGTTGAAGGGCTGTGATTGATACTATATCATCTTTTATGTTCCTATCTGGGGTATTCAAGTATTACGCCCGTTTTCTTAAAACGAACTTTAGTCGAACTTCGATCTAGAACTTCATTTAGTCTTAGTCTGCAACTTCATTCCTGTTAGATGGCTCGTCCTGGAGCCCCAAAATGAAAGCTGCCCCACTCAGGTGTTTCACCGACGACGGTGCTGACGTTCCCGAACAGCGGCGTCGTACGGCCCACCAAAAGGTCACTATCCTGGAGCTTATGCTTGGGCAAATTGCAAATTATTGTCCTGTGATTTCTCGCAACACAACTGTTAAAAGTTCCACTTCCTTGTCTCAAATATGGCAAACTATCAGGTTACATTATGGGTTTCAGTCCACCGGTGGACATTTTATTGATTTTGTGGACATCCATTAAAAGATAATGAACGGCCTGAGGACTTATATCAGCGTCTTCTTGCATTTATTCATGATAATTTGTTAAAGCAAGGTGGCGGTATTTCTCATCATAACCAGGTAGTTGAAGAAGACGAGGAGCTTTCCGCCTCCCTGGAAAATATGGTGGTCCTTATGTGGCTCTCTCTAATACATAAAGGCCTTCCAAAGATAGTTAAACAAAGGTATGGCACAGAACTTCGTACCAGAACACTTGCTTCAATTAAACCTGAAATCTCACAAGCTATTGATTCCCTTCTAGAAGAGTTACGTACAGCCGATGACACACGCGTCTTGCGAGCAGCAGCAGCACGCCCAGCAAGCACACCTCATTCCCAAAGGTCTCGTCGACCGTTCCAGATGTAATGCCTAATTAACCAGATTTATAGAGGGCGTCATAACGCTGACGTATAACAAAGGTAACCATGGCGGC